AATTCTTCGGGTTTAGTCGGCGCATCTTCTTCTTGCTTTTAGACGCCTACGAAAAACGTGTCCTGACGTCCCCCGGCAAGTACTAAAGCGTCTTGGATCGGTGACGTGTTTAAACAGCCCCCACTATTAGTCAAAGCAAAACGACGGCGCGATTACATTGCGTAAATCCGGAGAATTGACAGAACCATAACTATAAATAATACCCATAACTATTTATTATAAAATTTAATTAGGTTTAATGAATAATAATTAAACTAGGTAAAGATAAATAAATTTGAAGTAAAATATTTTGACAGTATATTTGCGTTCGTTCTTCCTAATTACTTGATTAATTTCACTTTAAACTTTGAATTATGGGTTTCATCTCCAATGGTAGTAAAGTCAGCTGGTGCCTGATTGGAGATGCCCAGCTGTCGTGTGAAGCATAGGCACTCTGAGACGCGGCAGGAACGCACGTTAGTTTGGCTTGATCACATAGGTAGAAATATGAAAAGCAGTTCACAAGTTGGAGTACATCAGACAACGTATCGCCAAGGCCAGATTTCACGAGGTATTACAAAACTCCCTTATTCCTAGTTACCTAGATGTTGGGGGAGGGCATTTGTGCCAACCGTGTTTCCATGGTATTTGAGCACCTGCATTGCCAGATGCACCTCGCACTATTTTGTTTGTTGCAGCCACCTCACGCTCATTACGATGTTTCAGGAGCTGGCACTTTGAACATGGTAGCGCATAAATGCCAACGTATGTATGTTCGCACGCAAGTGTCACATAAAACATAACTCATTCAAGACCAGACGAGATTGTCAGGCTAACATATGGTGTCAGCAGTTCCCCCCTCCTCCGCACATCATCGGCAGTTTGCAACGCAGTACAAAGACGTGAATTCGCCGTTGAACCAATAAGCATTGTTTTCCGGCGGTATACCTCAAAAAAAACAGCACAGTGGGTTATATTGATGCAAACACAGACAATCTGATCAATCGGGTGGTTGGCCGATAAGAAGTTTCAACCCACGTCTCGCGAGCCTTCTTTAGGACAGAGACATAGGTGAGTTTCAGAAGTACTTTTTGTCTTTCGCAGCAGGCTCTAAGTTCATAGGTGGAACCCCTTCTGGAGTGTTCTGGAAGAGATCGTA